GAACAAAAAAGATGCCATGTCAGTAGGTAAACGTATTTTTATAACATGCCGTCGCCGTCGAAATAAAGTCAGAGAAATAAGTCGAGGTTAAAGAAAAAAAAAAAAAAAAAAAAAAAAAAAAAAAAAAAAAAAAAAAAAAACAAAGTGTTTAAATCTTGATTTAAGTTTGGAGTTAGAACCTTTGAAGAGAGATTTTTTATTTAGACGTATGTACAAGTAAAAATCATATAAAAGCCTGAACAAAAGTCGATTAGAATATTATTAATATACAAAATTGGATCAAACGATCGATAATATTACATTGGAACTCACATAAAGGAGACCGAAACTAGAAACTCATATAGGTACAGATATACATATTTTTCGATATAGGTAGTGTGACCTGTAATCCCCAAAAGGCCGGTAAGGTAACGCACTTTCAACGCATCTGGTGTTCGAGGTGTCCATGGGTGACGCCGATTGCTTACCATCAGGTGATCCATCTGTTCGTTTACCGGAATACCGGAATATACCATAAAAAAACATATAACAAAAAGAAATTCGTTGTTTGCGATGTTTCATGAATGTTTTAAAGTTCTATCTTTCGTAATTGTACTATACCGTACAGAAGTGTACGTAGGCACTTGTCTATATCGTAAGCATAATTTTAAATTATTTATATCAACCTCATTATTCCTTATACATAAGTAACTATGACACCTTCGTATTCTTGGAAAATTGAGTGAGCAATATTACACCCTTGCCAATATCTAACTTTACGGAGTAGCAAGAAGATACCTAAACCCAACGAGGCTTTAATACCTATATTTATCAAATTACAAAACCTATAAACCTAAATATCGATAGTCTATAAACCTACCGATATCTAGGCAATTTTCACTTATACCTATTTGATATTAAGTGCTGTTGTCACCAAAACGAAAATTGCGTTTCTTATAAGTAATCGATGCTCGGGCATCGAAGTATTTATCTATCTGTTTAGCCTAAACTAATCAGACAGATAGATTAAACTGCTCCAATTTTTTAGGTTTAAGACTATCTTCTTTTATTTATTTTTCCACCAGCTGAATTGGGAGTCATTGGAGGAGACCTACGTTTAGTAGTAAGTAGGTAGATATTATACTGATAACAATGAAGATTCATAATAATATCATTATTCAAGTGTGGAAGGGCCATGCTTCGGCACGTAAGGGCTAGCTCGACCGGAGTGATACCACGGTCTCACAGAAAACTGAAGTCGTCGTCACGTCGTGTGAGTGAGGTTACTGGAGGCCCAATTATCCCCCCCCCCCTCCCCTCAGCAATGTGCCCAATCCCAGTATTCCCAACAATCCTTAAATTCATAATTTCCAAAAGGCCGGTAGCGAACTTGTAATGACTCTATTGTTCCAGGTGGCCATGGGCGACGTCGATTTCTTACCATCAGGTAAGATTTACCGTACCGTTTACCAATTTATCTCATAAAAAATTACCTCGAGTAATGTTTGCAAATATTCAAACAGCTTTGTCATTTCAGTCACATATTCTATTTGCAATGCATATCTGCAAGACTATTATTACAGGCGATTAATAGTTATTATAATAGTTCTGACATTTCAAATGATAAACAATGATTAAATTACTTCACCTCACTGAACTGTGTAAGAGCACGTTTATTATAATTTCAGAGTCGGAGATCAAACATTAAATGCGTTATGGCCTGGGATAAATTATGATAATTTTAGTTACATAAGGTACAATAGAGATATTAGCAGACATTGCTATAGCGCATTTATAAAAATTCACAATAGCAATGTCTGTCACATATGAAAATCACATTAGTGATTTAAAAAAGGAATTTGCACGTATGACTAACAATCCTCACGAAATCCTCCGCCAAGTAAAAAAAAATGACCTACTTACCTTCAATCACATACGTAGGTTGGTGAGTAGGTTTAAAAAGTGGCAACCCCGTAAATATCACATCGTGAATAACACCAATATTATACCTAACTAACGTTGCTTTTCGAAATTCGAATCCAAGATTATTTTTGTTTTTTTAATATCCTGTACGATGTAATGTCTGGTAAAAATGTGAAAAGTCTGACGAAATGTTTTTAATCGAAAACTTATTATTATCACAATGATTATTAATTAATAGGTGTCCAATTTCATAAATGAATAGGTTGGTAATTCAAACTAAATAAATGTTCACTTTTAATGCCTATTTGGTTAAAATTATGAGTACTTAATAATCATAATTTAAACGCGAATATTTTAAACGCAGATTATTGAATTACTAAAATTTTTGAACAGTATTAAAAAAAAGAAATCTTCTTTTCAGAACTAAATCAAAGTGATTTCCATTACAAATACTTCATAATTTCGTATGATGATATTATTTTCTTTAGACGACTTAGGCAAGCGGCCAGGCTGGCCGCTATTGTAATGCGCACAAAGATATTATAATGATGTGACCATTGTTGTTTCTTATGTTCACTTATTTAACCTTCAAATACACATTGTATTATCCCTTTGTCCATCTGAATCTTTTTCAATAATATCTACCCTTTAGCGTCTAAAAGATGCTTAATTCAAGCTCTATTTAGGGCATAAAGAATACTTTATAATCTAAAGGTTTTGTTGTAAAAAGTGTCGAGTGTCATGGCGGCCCGGAGGTTTATGACAGCGCACCGTCGCTGTCTTAAACCTCCGGTTCGAAACCTACCAACGGCAAGTACCAATGTGACTTTTTCCGAGTTATACATATGTACTTTCTAAGATTATTTAGACACCCTGACAAACGGTGAAGGAAGAAATCGTGAGAAAACCTGGGTTTATAATCTCTAATTACAAGTTTGAAATCGCCAATCCGCATTGAGCAAGCGTGATGATTAATGCTAAAACCGTCTCCGTGTCAGAAGAGGCTTTGCTCAGCATTGGGCTTAGGCATAGGCTGTTGATGACGATGACTAGTAAAAAAATATTTGTCTTGTTATAAACTAGCTGCTTTTGTAAATAAAGAAATCAACTTAACAACATATTGTACCTACGTTAACTAGAAGTCTGTCTTGGTTTGAATTTTATTAATAAGTATTAGATATAGTTTTAACTATCTCTAAAACTATGAAAAAACAGTTCTCAAGTTTATCCATTTTAGTCGTGTATTTTAAGACTAACAACGAACAATTTGTTCCTGTAATTTACTACCCTACTATACTTACACCGCAGTGCATACTTAGCGGCCGTGCTGTGGTCTGCATAGTCAGGATATGTAGGAACAAAATATTATTTTGTAAAACGTTTCCAGCTTAAGATGCATTAGGGTGTATTTCGAGGTCGACCCTTTTCACTAATTATTGCATTTTTATTATGTTGAATATTCATCCGCGTGGATGACTCATTTGAGTAATTTTGACTTTCGAACTTTCTCTAAGGACCTACATAAATATTCTATCAAGCAATCAGGTTTAGGCCGTTTCCAGATTTCAAAGTAATCAGATGTCGTAGTTTAGCGGTAAAGCTCAGCTGTTGTGGGTATACTTTTACATTTATTACACTACTACATATTTAAATTTAACTATGTGTAGACCATATTCTCAGAAATTTAATTTCGTTTAGATATTTTTAGTAATCTACAATATCTATAAAACCGTTTAGGGCTGACGAAGCATTTTACCTCGATTGAAATAGCCTTTGATTAAATTGTTCTAAACATTTTTTGTCTAATGTAATTACTTATTGCAATTGAATTCCAAATTAAGGCAAAAACATTGGCCTTTTCGAAAACATTAGGCACCAGATAATCAGCCGACGAGCTCTCAGCGGGGGACGATTTACTGTGATTTTATTCATGTATATAGAACTGTGTGGACCATAAACAAAGCCCTTTTCGCACAGAGAGAACTTTGTTGCGAAAAAAGTGTGTATGAATGTTTAAATAAAAAAGTTTTCAGACAATATTCAGTGCGTAGTTGGTTTTTTAATTTTAATTTAAATTAAATCTGGCATGAGGTCTGTTTCAACTTTTGGACAAATATGTAGCTTTTAGCAAAAAAAGGCGCTAGTACAGTGGAGTCGGTAAATATGTAAGGTAAAAATGATAAACTTTTGTTCGTTTGTTCTTCAATAATGAGAACAATCCAGTTTCGTTCTACCATGTAACGTTAAAAAACTACTTCGTGGGATTGAAAAGGGAAACAATAAAGGTACGTTCTCGTTTGTCTAAAAAGTTATAAATCTACATACACTGTACAAATCATCATCATCATCATAACATCAAGCCTTTTATACCCAAAGGGGTAGGCAGAGGTGCATATTATGCCACTATACAATGTAACACCCACTTTTCACTATATATGTTATGAGCCCCATGTAATAGGGCGTGAACCTATTGCCATATACCAGGCAAAATTCTAGACTCCGTACTACTACTGAGAATTAAAAAAAAACACAGTAATACTTTGCCCGACCCGGGAACCGAACCCGAGACCTCTTGCCCAGCAGTCGCACTTGCGATCACTCGGCCAACGAGGCAGCCATTAATTCACTTCTAAAAAGTAATAAGATAACAAAAACAATCTTGCTGTAGGAATTTTGTAGTGAATCTATTCAACTACCGTACCTATTTTACCTACAGACAGTTACTCCAGTTCCAAAGCATTCCTAAATCTAGACGACTAAGTAGATAGATTAGTGAGACACCGTTTTATTACTTCTCCGATACCATTCCCCTTTTAGAATTTAACGTGAGACACAGCTGATATACGTTACGTCTGGGAAAATTCTTTAACTTTAACAGTAAAACCAGTACCATTAAGTAGACAGATTTATACACATCTAGAAATCTGAAAGTGTTGATATATCTAATAATTTTCACATATTTTATTAATCATGATTTGTACTTTTTAAACAGGTAAAAATACATTTTAAGTATTGGAATTTCAATAAAATACGGAAGTAGTTATTTATATGAATTTAATTAAATCAATACATCAATAATATCTACAGAATATTTTATAGTTTACAGTGAAAATAGATTTTGATTAACTTATTAAAGAACAGATTTAATACGTCGTACAATCGTACATGTGTTGTGTATAGTTTATAATGCAAGTACATTTGTAGAGTACTTTAGAAAAAAAATGTCTTTGGTATCTAGGATAACAGATAACAAACTTTAAAAACGTATTTAACAGACTATCTAAGAAGAATTGCTAGACTTGTGCATTATCCAATGTGGTCTTTTTAACATTTAATAGATAAAAGCTATCTATGAGTACACGACAAGTTGTAATAACGACAATGTTATTGCACAACATTGTTAATATATTCTGCACAAGTCCATCCATATAAAGGCCTATCTACTATGGAAATTTAGTCAAGAGATGAACATAACAACAATTAGTGGAGTAGGCTGGGGTCAGTTGCACCATATATGGAACAAGAAACAATAAATTACTCAGGGTCTGTTGGGACTTACAGTTGAGTATAAGGTATCTCCACATCGGGTCGCGTCTCCTGTTTATCCTCACCGAGGAACGTGCCCTATAAAATAGTAAGCTCAACCCTTAATTATAAGTTCACGGAGTACGTAACTTTGATACTTTGTGCTTGACTTCGTAAAAGGTTAACTTTGTAATCATTTGGTTAACAAAAGTTGAAATAACAACCTTCTTGTTTTACTTCTTCATGTCAAAGACAGGTTTTAAGGGAGTTGAGTTGGTAATTTTATCAGTTTTTAATATTAATTTCACTTTAGGTTACCGAAATTGGTACTTTTGTTAAAGGTGGAATGGCGGCAAAATTCAAAGTAGGCAGAACACGTAGTCTGAATATGGCTATTCCCTTCTAGTAAATTGCTCTAACTCTAGGTAGTAAAAGCCCAAGTTGAAAGCATTTGTGGACAAATTAAGTCATTTTATCGTTAGATCTCGGCTTCATAACGAGCTAGCTACGAGCATCCACGTCCAAATGTTCCAACTATCCCCAGCCGGCTCTACTAAAATTCCCTCGACTACTAGCGATATATATTTACATGAATTTTATCATTATACAAAGACAACGAGAACAATGTGGTAATGAACGTTCTTAAAGGCTACCATTTACTGAGTCGCGGTCAGCTTTCAACTCGCATACAAATTCCACTAAAATAAGAGATCTGATATCGAAAATGGACAAGAAACCGAATTACATGAGTTTTAATCGTTTAAAAAATGTGATACACAGAGGTGGAATATAATTACATTTATTTAGACCACGAAATGAAAACCTTATTTTCATGAAATTCACTTATTGAAATAAAAATGTAAGAGACGTTAAAAGTTAGCGTTTTGAGTTTGCATAGACAGATACCCTTTAGAATAAATTATATCTTTTTCATATGGAAATAGAGATTTTCTTACAAAATTTCTGAATCAATATTCTACATTGAAATAATATAATTATATCGTGATAGTATTTGGTACAATTCTAATAAAATATACATATCGAATCGAATGTCTATTAATCTAAATTGGCTTAGGTATGTTGGCGAAAATAACAAGTATTTTTTATACTATTTTACTTATAATAATGAAATGTTTTTGGCCATAGCTTCATTCCTGCTACTAGGCGGAAACTTTACAATTAATCACATCAACTTCAAATGAACGAATTTACGTATAAAAATTTATAGATATGTTCACTATTTACACGACAATAGTTTAACAATACGAAATTACACTTACAAATTTATTATTCTTATATACCTCGTGTGATATTGGATTCAGCAGTTTAGAAATTATTTTTACAATTCTTACTTAAGTCGTACATTTGAAATTGTAAATATAATATTGTCTGCTATCACTCTCCTAGAACTTCTATCGTTGTGACGTCACTGTCTGCCCCTAATGCAGCTATAACTGGGTAAGCGGTATTACGGTATTGAACATAAATATTGTACTTCAATTCCAGAGCCGAGTTATCATGACTGAGGCTCCATCTTAAATCTCGTAAACCAAATTGGGTGATTGGAAATTCATCAAATCACAATAGCTTGGTTCGTAATATACTTACATTTCTATATTTACACCAGCCACCAATACATTTAGATACATTTTACTTCAATTCGAACAATTTAATACGATATTTACATTTTTACAATATTTTTATATGAAACACTTTTTCAACTATTTAGTTTTAAACTGCCTATCTAACAGCAAATTAAGCTTTTTTCATCAAATGGATAAACTAAAGATAACCGAAAGATATGTAACGTTTGGTCTTAACTCCATCACTAGCACTAGTTAATCCATCTAATAACATACGTACTCTAAGTTTAAGCTCGCGAGATCACTAAGTTCACAATCACTCACACTTACTCACAGTTAGCGTCGTAGCTAATCAGAGAAGTTTGTAAGAAGTCTTTAAAAGTTTTATACGGAACAAGTGACGTCAGCGCCTGCTGGTGCACGTCTCTAGTGTCTAGTCGTAGAGATCACGCCTAGAGACTGTAGAGACAGTGTAGAAGCCGCTGCTGTCAGTCACTTCGTCGGTGCTCTCTGTTAATCAGGAAATATCTATATTTTCCACCTTGTACAGGAAGCGCCGCCGACGCATGTCTCATGATTCCCCATTCGGCGCTATGGTGACCGTGCTGCAGTTAGCGCGAGTGGAGCGGGTCGAACTCCTGCGCAGGCCGACGCCTCCCACGGGATTTAATAGTATTAAGTTTTCGCTCTTCCTTTTTCCATGGCAATTACAGAATATGAGCTCTTTCATACCTTTCCTAAAATTTTTGGACAGGAAAGCGTATAAGAGTGGATTTATGCCAGAGTTGAAGTAGGTGATGAGGAACGTGAGCGGCGTGAGGAGAGTGCTGAAGTCGCTGGAGCCCTCGTATCCACTGGACCAATACTGCCACATCTTTCGAGCGTGGAAGGGAAGGTTGCATATAGCGAAGGTGAGCACAACCACTATGAGCATGCGCACGACCCCGCGGCGCGCACGCAACACGTTGCGCGACAAGTGGCTGAGGTGGTGACAGTTGCGTGTTTCGTGTCCACGGGTCGCTTTCGATGTCGTTGTCTTCCCAGACTGGGTGCTGCTGCTCATCGTCGCTACTTTCTGTGTACAAAACGATTTCTATTAATAATAATGTTGGTAATTATGAGTATTTTCTCAGTTGTAAACATGCTTTTTTACAGAAAAACCCTGTGAATAAAATAAAGATAAAAAGATATAATTTTTGAGAGCAAAACAACCTTAACATTAAACTCTGTATAAGATAAAGTAACAAAACAATTAATCGAGTTATTAAGGAAAAACGGAAATACTGAATATATTGTTGATAATAAACATTATATTTCTTACTAATGGTTATTATTTGTGAGTGAGGACTTATACATAATATAGTATCTTCTAATGTCCTTGATGGCTTGATTGTACTTATATCTAAGTTCACCGAAATACTGAATGACTTTATTTTTGTATTATGTCAGTCAGTTTCGCTTGACATTTCTTGTCTATTCCCTTCTTCCTGATTCTTTTCATACAATACATTATCATAATCCATATTACATAGGACTCATAATATAAATAGTGAAAAGTGGGTGTTACATTGTACAGTGGCAATAAGTCCCGTAATGTACACCTCTGCATATCCATTCGGGGATAAAAGGCGCGATGTTATGTGTATGTGTAATCCATGAAACAATCATAACAGACCTGTGCGTTAAAAACTCGTAGCTTTCTAGTCCTAAGAATTTCCATAGCATGACATCAAAAATTGCATGGAATACATTCTCTGGAAACAAATTCCTTTTACTTTACATACTTCTTGTATAAAAACCAAAACAAAATTCACTTACATTAGCAAAAAGTTAAATAGTTATGTAAATATCATATTTGTTCAACACACAGTGAAAAGATATTAACTTGAAACCCTGAAACCCTAATTTACCATCCCAGTTCATGTCCAAAATATACGTTCAGCAAATAAACACAGTTATTGCTTGACTCATGTTTAATATTTATGAAATGTCTAACCACCTTCTACGTATACCACATCTGTTTGAGATACGAGACTTCAAGTAGCGTCTTTTCATTGACTGAGAAAATGTTTGCCGAGCAAAAAGTTTACGTTGTCAAGGGAACTTCGCCCCTATGAACGCTACTTTATTTGTGAAATGGTGCGAAAATAATATGTCTACAGCTACAAAATCTGTACTTGTTGGCTCTACTAATATGAAATGATTGACGTGTGTAGTAAGTACCTACAACGTGTGAAGGTGAAATATTCTTAGGGAAGCGAATAGTATTAATAAAGGAGGTAAGGCGGTAAATTATCAGGTTACGTACCTCACTTCCGTCATACCAATTACCGAAAATCGATAGATATAATAGACGGAATGAAATTACTATTCAGTTTCTTTGTTGTGTAGTGAATAAATACTTGAGGCAATATTGAGTTTTATTTCCAACTTACAAATCCTGAATTTTAATTTAAAAAGTCAGTCACCTTTACGAAGCTGGACGTCTAGTATCTATAGCAAAAGCCCATTCACGCCAGTAAACGTTCCGCCGCAAGGCGTGGCGTCACAATTCGTGCTCATATCCGCAGCCAGCCGATTACACAAACGTTCCAGCTGTTTGTAACCCTCACATAAAACTTTATACCTGCCAAATAATTCCAGAACTTGATCCGTAAGATCCGAACTCACAAAGGATTTAAAGATCAAAGCATTTTCTGAGCAAACATAAGAACAAACTTCAAAATCTTTACTTCGTTTCATGTTCATCGATGCCCGTTGCATGTTGTCAATCGGTCGATCTACCATCACATTAATGAATATTTTAATGGTATCATTGGGTGATACATTGCCAAACAGGAATTGATTGGTCCAATTTATGCAAATAGGCTGTGAGCACGCTTCCAGTATTGTGTCAAACCAAAGCCACGGAATAATTTCGCAGTTAGTAGGCGAGCTTTTGTTTTTACGGCTCTAATAATGAGGTTTCTGAATAGGTAGACTAGAATTTAACTACAAAGGCTGCGTGGACTAATTTCTTATTAAATAGTGCTCTTTGTAATGTACTTTTTGGCAGGTACCTATTGTTCTTAAAACATGCCAGTGCGTAGTTACGCTCTGCCCACCTTCCATGAATAATTTCATAGTTGCTAGTTGCTCGAATAATAAAGGGCAAATGGACGAAGGCAATTAATTAATCAGTCTACTAGTCTGCCTAACTATATTGTACAAAAAAGAAACCACTACAAAGAGTACAGACTTGAATAATTTTACGAGTCAAAGGATAATATTAGTTTTGCTTATTGCGTAAAATTTGAAAAATGGATTTAGTTTTGGGTGAGTTGGGTCAGACGTCACGTCAAACTAGACGGACATATTTCAGAGTAAAATTTTAGTAGTTTAACTATAAATATAATTTAATAAAATTACCTTATCATCATTGGTGCCAATGAGGGTTCGTTGTGCATCATAAGCAGTATTACTAGATTTTTCTGGACGTGGGAACTGTGTGGCGCAGCACTGCACTCGCTCCAAATGTTGCAGCGCGTGGGAGCTCTGCCACAGCCCCACAGCGATGCGAGTGTATAAGACCTAGGAGAAATGTTTCATAATGTACAATAATTGTCAAACAAGACTTTTCAAAATACAGAGAGTGACTGAAAAAGACGTGAGAAATGTGTGTGTCATTTTTCGCATCTTTTTCAGTTATTCATCAATCTCCATCATCTATCAATTTCATCAATAACAGTAGATAAAGAACTTCTTAACTTTACAGGACACTATTTACAAATTACAATAAAACGCAGTTTCCACAAAATATGTACGAGTACCTCTTATTTATTAGAATGAAGACTTTTCCGAAGCTAATATGTTAGCTGTGGGTAATTAGCGACAATAATACCAACAAGTAGTACATCCTGACAAATTTACCTACACGTGCGTTTACCTATTATAAAAAGGTGGGACTCTATATGTTTACCGACTGTCTTCAATAAGATAAACTTGGTAATTAGTATTATAGTTAAGTATACCTACCAAAATATAAAGAAACATAAGCCTCCATTTCTATTGAAATGATACTATTAACATCATTAATATCTCTATATATAAATTATTTAGATATCGATATGATATCGTCAGGAAACAGATGGATTTACGGGTTTATAACGGATATACAAAACCAACAAAAATGGCAACAGAAACCTTCACTCAAACGGCGAAACCTAACGCAAGCTTTGCTTCTCGTTGATTTTCTGTGAGGCCGTAGTATCACTCTGTTAAAACCGACCCACTCGTGCCGAAGAATGATTTCTCGACGTCAATAATGTGGAACAAAGAAATGCTGTTATTTTAGTAGAATTGATCCTACAATTTCGATTTTCTGTATCTAATTTTGTTCCTGGCATATCTAGGTCTTTATATCAAGACTGACAGGTGTTAGTAGAAGGTGTTTGATATATGAAAGATCGGGGAAGTCAAGTACATATCAATAGCTCTTTCAAAGAATGTAAGGTCCGGATATTAGTTTATATAGAGGTACAATCAAACATTATACTAAAGTATTGATCGACACGGACCTTTTTGAAATAGTAATTTACGATTTTAGGAGGATGAATAAAAAGGTTATGTGACCCAATCGTAATTTTACTGTTCTTTGTATCGTGAAAAATGTAACGACTATTAAAGTGTTTATTGAAAGCTTAGGGATAAATCTCGAAAATGTATTTTTGTATGTTCGAAAATATCGGCTAGTTTTTTGTACTTCGCGAATAAGCCATAGAATTATATTGCTGATGATTATGCAAAGAAAATACATATTTTCATATCTTTGTTTCAGGTTTATCGATATTGAATTGCACTAGTAAGCACACCTCTAGCTTTTAAATTTTACTCACCAACTATAAAACTCAATCAAGGTCCATTTAGTCACGTCTTTGACATAGACCTAAGATTTCTAATTCGAACTGACTTGAGTTATTTCACACTTAATTAGTTTCATTAAAGTTGTCACTTAACCACATTTTATTACAGTTAAACGTTATTTTACGCAAAGTGAAATATTTCTAGAAGTTTTTCTTAAGAAATATGTGATAAGAAAGATTAAAAGTCATAGATTTTTTGCAACAAATGCAAAAGCTTTTAGTCTTTTTACTTGTATACCTATTACTGTACGTATGTTAGTTTTTAAAAGAATTATATACCTTATCGAGAGTTCAAAATAATGTCCAGAAATTAAAAGAACGATGAAATATGATGTTGTATTAAGAATTTGATTAAGTTTGTTTTATTAATTTTAATACAGCGCGCCCCATTGCTCTCTAGGAACCCTAAAGTTTCAAAGACCAGCCTGGACGCCTAATTAATTGGGGAATCTTACTAGAAGTTATTAAATTTAAGCAATTCAATCGGCCAATTAATAACGAATAATTAACTTTGAACTTTATGCTTTAAACATTGAATACATTTTCATGTATCAGGCTCAATAATAATAACTGCACTGTAACTGAAGTAAAGAATTTCTATCAAATACATCTATTACCAATATTTGAACTAAATCAATCCTTAACGAGGTGATTGTTGAATTCGTTCCGATCCTAAGTAAATAATAAAGATAACTTCGTACACTAGACAGTAGAATTCAATAAGATTAATTCATAGAATTTCATTCTTTTGTCATGTTACTGAAATTGTCGCCATTTGATCTTGACGTTTTGTTTCCATGCCCTAGTGTCTTCAAGGCCAGAATTCTGAATTATCAGTTATTTACAAATATAAACTTCTACAATGTTCATACTATACTGTTTGACGAGATGACTAGTTTCAAGCCACGACAGCGTTATACTGCTCATGACTTTGCGTCCCTAGCGAGGCTTGAAACTAGTTGAATTCCCTACCTCGTCTAATATGACGTGAATAAGCCGTAAAACATATAGGTAGTGATACATCTCACGAGAGTCAGGCTGAGTCTTTAGTCACTGCGCATGGTGGAAGCGAAATCCGCCCCGCACGAAACAAATATTCGCCGACTGGTTCAAACATGTAGAGTCTTATAATGCAAAAATCTACCTATATTTCTGGATTGATTGGACTGGATTTCTTTCTTAATTTCTACTTAACTGAGATCTTCTATGTCAGAATTTAGATCTTAGTTAAACATGTTTTGTTTTGGAATTTTATAAAAGACAGTGTGCTTTACATTGTTGTATTAAGCTTTTGAAGAAGCAGAATAATAAATCAAAGTAACGTGATGACTCTTGTTTCCTTACCAGCTAGAGAAAAGATCTAATTAAGTCTTTGTTCTTTCTTATTTGCCATTGGGAAGCAAGGCAAAAAGAAAATTTTAAAATATGTGTCTCATTCTATATTGTTGTTTTCTATTGTGGTAACATTGTTTTGTTTAAAAACTTATTTCTTCAGGAGGACACGTTATAAAAATGTGGGATAATCTAAATTAGAAAACATAAAACGTAAACAATAGATTTTTAATTCGTCAAAGAGCAGACGGGACAGAAATGATTAGTGCCGCCCATAAGGCTTTAGTAACACCAGATGAGCCGTAAGTTGTGATCGGCCATTCAAAAGGAAAAAAACGTGTGTATTACACTTTATTTTGTGAAACGGCAATAGGCTCACCTCTATTACATGGGACTCTTAATGTCAATAGTGAAAAGTGAGTTTTGCATAGTACAGTGGCATTAATTGCCGTAATATGCATCTCTGCCTACCCCTTCGGGGTTAAAAAGGTGTGATGTTATGTTATGTTTTGTAAACGGTGAAGATTTTCACTTTGTTTTACTTCCCAACTAGATAGATACCGGTACCTAAGTAGATATTTTAAGTTGCAGCCGTCGAATCCTTTTCTGCCTTGTAATTAAAACGGTAATAATTTATTGTCAGATAAGGAAGTCATTTATTTAAATTCAAACTCTTCTTATTATGTATCGGTTGAAGGTTAGCTTGAAAATTCTTAATGTAGACTTTAAAATTAAGTTTGGTATCGACATAATAGCATTATTTAACAAGAAACCTTAACCTTATAAGTAGATCTGTTTGTAGACATTACGTACCTAATTTGTTTTGTAACATTTTCACTACAAACTGGATGGGTATAAAATATACCAGGATTATCTTTAATTTAATTTTTTAAAACTATGAATGAAAAGAGAATTTTTATTCATAGTCATAAGGTTCCTTAATGTTCTACATATTTATGTAGGTAGGTATGTAAGAATCTATGTTGGTATATAATCTTCATCACAGGAATTTAATTTAATGAAATTCAAAGCCTACTAGGGACAATGTCCTTGGTTTACCGTTTTCAACTGAGACTTCATGACGTAACATGGAGATATTACGCAGACAATGACGTGATCTCTTCATTAATATTATGAAGACATGACATATTTCACCAATATGACTCTCTCGTTACCAACTGGTATTCTGATTTACTAAATTAGAAAAAATATGCGAAATTAAGGAAATAAAATTGACCTCGTGTACAGAAAAATTAGATGGTAGTCGACTACATAACATTTTTTTTCAATGAACATTAAACGAGAAGTTAATTTTAATTTTCTGATGTCTACCACACATAATTTTGACTAGGCAATAATCACTTTACTGCATTTTAAAAGTATCTAACAATGTGCTTACTGGTACGTCAAGAGCTGTTCAAAACTGTGGGAAATGGAAACACTAATTAGTTGGAAGCAAAAGCGAGCAACGCAACAATTACAAGTGCCGATAAGAGTTCTTAAAGCCAGGAAGAGAAACTACTTCAACCCGCGTAGAGTATTAGGAAACAGTACTTCAGTATACCCTGAAAATTTATTAGTTTTACTTAAAGTCAAAGTCAAAGTCAAAGCATTTATTTCAATTAAACCATAGTTTGGTACTTTTGAAACGTCAACAAATACAAAATAAATAATAGTCTGTCAGTCAGTCCGTCAGTGAAGCTAGGTGAAGCTTGGTGCTCATTCCAAAACGTAGATTCGAATGGAGAAGAACGAGCAAGAAACTCCATTCGTTACTCGTTTAAAAAAGTATGTTCTATAATGTCTCTGATACATATTTCAATACTGTACGCATATGTAAGAACAATGCAAAGACACGCTTGACGCATTATACTACTAACTTACTAAAATAAAAATAAAAATAATAAAGATCTTAAGTCCAACATGGTGCTCACATATGCATACTGACAATCCATAGAAATAGTGCTTCTATACAAGAAAAAGGAAACTCTTTGTTTCAATAAAGAAAGAAATGCTCGATGCCATAAGGAAATTATTTTTGCCTCTAGTATTAAAATTGTGTCTATCGCTTCTTTTTTCAAACAATTGCCTATTTTTCCTTACATACATTATATTTTCATATATATTCCTTATTATTTTTCCTGCATTATAATATTCAAACATATGATAATAGGATACCGTTAGGAGTCCATATTCATGTGTTCAGGACTTTGAATAATTAAGATACCTACCTTCATAAATGTAAAAATTATGATTTTATGTATTTTTGTCACGTAATCTGAAAAGGGATTTTACATACATACTTGTTAAAAATTAAGGAAAAAATGACAAGATAAC